GTTTACAATCAAAACAAAAGCAAGCAACAAAAAAAAAAGTTTTCTCTTTTGCCGGTTGCCCCCCGGCTGACCGGGCGCAGGTCAGAGCGCGGCCGGTGCCTGGTGTGTTCCCACCTGCAGCTGCCGGCCGTGGCCTGGCCGTTGGGGGCGGGTCAAAAAATGGGTTAGCCCTGGTCCGGCCGAACCGCCGGCGCCGTCACTGCACTGGTCCTCGGTCGTGCCCGCGACTTAAAAGTCACTGAGGGGAAGTTGTGGGTTTTGGCTGAACTGCGGAGGTGGGAACGTGTGGGATTTCAGTTCTGTAATTGCTCCAATACAGGATAGGATAAAGCGTGGCCGGCCGAGAGCAGACACTGTCCGTGACCTGATCAATGAAGGAGAGCACTCTTCCAGCAGGATACGTTGCAATATCTGCAACAGGGTCTTTCCACGAGAGAAATCGCTGCAGGCCCACAAACGAACTCATACCGGTGAGTGAAGGGAAGGCGTGAATAGCCGGTGTGAGCTGCTTGGGAAGCAGCAGAGAAAGAATTAAAAAAATATCCTACAAACCAACCATGAAAGACCCCCAACGAACTCTTAATATTTTATTGTAACTGTTAAATTAATCATATTTTTCTTGCAATGCTTGTAAATGCAATCAAAGTTTTTATAACCATGTTTGTCATGGGAAACTGTAGCAGCAATTTAGGCTACAATAGTATAGGCAAATTGTGTAAATAGTTTATCTGCTGCTGTCACAGGCTTATTTTGTAAGATGAAGAACTTTTCTTGAGCTTGGTGCTCTGTACATGATACCGCTTTTCATTCTGACTGCGTCTTCTGTGACTTGTTTCTTTCTTGCTGGTGTATTTTTCACACAGCAAGTGAAGTTTAGCTGTAAGAGGAGACGGTAACTTAGAAAGTGGCTGGTAACTTGGGCAGCATGACACCCTAGAAGTGTAGCTTAAATGTTGAGAGAAGAGTTCAAATGCTTAAAATCACCATTCAGTTTTCTATCCCGCCACTTGGAATTCATTTTCTGTGGCGGAGGTGGTCACGCTAATTTACTGAACTGTAAGTGTGTGGCAAATCGCAGTTAAAATGTAAGATCCACTCACTGAATACCCAGCTGAGCTTGAACTGAACAGGCGATGTTGGTTTTTTAAACCAAGCAAATACATTATTTTTTTCTTCATGTTCTAGGAGGACTGTGCTTGTGATAAGGTGTGAACTAATGTAGCTTGCCATATGGACACAACTACCCATGCCCCCCCCAAACCAAACCCCAGAAAAACCTTGGCTCCCATGGTCTCTTTTTTCTGACTCAAGTCGCTAAGACTAATCTAGATACTAATACGAAACAGCATTTCTTCATGCTCTTTCGTCAAAAGATGCTTTTATTTCACTTGATTGTATTAGGTATTGAATTTGTATGAACTACTTAACTGAGCAGAGCTTACCCTGGTGTTACTGCTCTGAAGTCAGCATCACCCTCGTTTTGTTGTCCTGCCTGAGGAGCTGTGGCGCATCACACCTTTGCATGGTTGCATGCAGTCAGATCCTCTCAAGGGGGGAGATGCCTGCTCTCTCTGTTCTTCTCGTTGCAGTTTGCATGGGGAAGTCTTCCTTGATGACTGACTTCAGAAAAGTTTCTTGGCTTAAGTCTGGAATAAGTTTCTCTTGTGACCTCTGTTTATCCATTGTGACCTCTGTTTGACCTTTACTCAAATTGTCTTCCCTAACGAGATACTTCGACAACTTTGTATGTTGCTATGCTGTTGACTTCAGTTATTTTACCCTAGTTCAGGATATGTTAAGGATAAAACATAGGTTACATAAAACATAAGGTTACAACTTGAATTACATTACTTGTTCATTTACTCATTTAAATTTGTATGTTTCTTGCTTTATATGTGCATAGTTTAATGGGACAAAGCTTATGAAGTTCTCTACAAGAGGTTTAGATCCAAAAATGTGACAAGGAAAAATATAATTTTGGATCCCCCCCCTGCCTTTGGAAAGAATCGTATTATCCAGCAGCATTGAGCATGCACTTCAAAGTAAAGACCTGTTTCGGATAAAAGTGTGTCTCTGCTATTTGGTACACCAGAGCTTTTTAAGTAGATGCAAGTGTCTGAGTGGGTGGAAGGAGAGCTTGCTTGTGTAAGTCTCAAGCCAGGGACCACCAATGGATACTATGACTCTTATATTCAGCTTTCATAAATCTGTTCTGTTATTATTTTTAAGGTGAAAGGCCCTATTTGTGTGACTACCCAGATTGTGGGAAAGCCTTTGTTCAGAGTGGGCAACTCAAAACTCACCAGCGTCTCCACACAGGGGAGAAACCTTTCGTCTGCTCAGAGAACGGTGAGCCATCAGGGAACAATTTGCAGCTTTCAGAACTAGGGTCAGTCTAGTACTGGAAGTGTGTGTGTGCGTGTGCGTTCATATGGCAAAGATCCATACAAGCTTTGGATTTTAACTTTGGAGTAGCTTCTAGAGAAGGGAGGAGCCGTGCAGAATCTGCATAATCATACAAATACCTATTTAAGGATTGCATACATTGTTACATAAGTAGGTTATCAGTTGATACGAAGGTATAAAATGATGGGGCATTTTCAACCAAACCTAGGCTTTTGTGAGTGAGGAAGGTTGGATTCAGCAGCGTCTTCATCCCACAGATGTTGTGCTTACTTGGTTGGTTGGCTGCTTTCCATAATGTGTTCTTCCTTGTCGCTTCATGTTTTTAAAGGCTGTCTAAGCAGGTTCACGCATGCAAACCGTCATTGTCCCAAACATCCATATGCCAGACTGAAGAGGGAAGAGCTCACAGACAAGCTGAGTAAGAAGCAGACGGCTGACAATAAAGCTGTGGCTGAGTGGCTAGCAAAGTAAGTTCCCTCATGGTGTCATCTTCCCCTAAATACTTACGAGGGTGGTCTGAGAAAGCATTTTATTCTTAGAGGCAAAAAAACCCCCAACAAACCAAAACCAGCTGTTCCTCCAGTACGAATCAGCCCGGCCTTTCCTTTCTTTAAAGAAGTGCGAACTCCTGGTCAAGGCAAAGTTTGGTCTTGCTGAATTTGCATCTGTACGAGAGGCAACAATTGTGTATGCCTAGGGAGAAATGCCTGCTGAGAATACCATGTAGAGGAGAAATCTCTCACAGATGTTCACTTGGGCACTTTAAACTTAAAATAATGAATAAAGGAGGTTTCTGACAGCTTAAATACTACCAGGTAAGGGGTGAAAGAAAAGCCAAATACAGTGCTTAGTCTGTATGCTTACTAGCTTAGTGCAAGCTAGTACTTGGGAGGTTTTTGCCAGCTCTGAATTGTTGGTGTGTGTGTTGGTTGTATGTATTTTAAAAGCATTCCACACATTCGATTTTGTAGATACTGGGAGACTAGAGAACAGCGTGCCCCTGCTTTGAAAACTGAAACAATCCAGAAAACGGATCAGGAACAGCAGGATCCGATGGAATATCTTCAGTCTGATGAAGAGGATGATGAAGAGAAAAACAGTGGTCATTCAGCTGCTCACCGCCGCCGCCTCCAGGAACAGCGTGAACGCATGCATGGCGCACTGGCTCTCATCGAGCTTGCAAACCTAGCTGTGGCACCGCTTCGACAGTAGATATAGAAACAGTCTGCCTATTCAAAATGTACTTCCTGGTGGTACTTAACCAGTTAGATCCTGAGCATAAGCTAAGCACCTTATTTGCTATCATAGGCTGCTATTCTGTAGAATTTATGAAGAATGTTGTTGCCCTGTAACATGGGGTGAGAGAATTGCACTTTTTGTAAGGTAAAAGATAGATGTAAAGTTTCTAAGTATTTTGTAAATATGGGACTGCGTAGTGCAGGGTTGGCAAATTTGCTAGATTTTGCAAGGTTAACTCATTTATTTGAAGCAGTTTTCACAGGAAGCACTTTTTGAACAAAGTGTTTGTGATTAGCAGGATGGTACCTGTAGCCAAAGAAGGCTGACAAAAAGAAAAATATCTGACAATTTAAGCAAATTTGTATTACATAGTGGTCTGAAGATACTGTTAAGCCATGAAACCGCATTTTTCCAATGTCGGTATATCTTTACCTACTATCACTGAGGTGGAAGGCAAAGCTTAGTTATCTCAGCCTGTAGAGGGGAAGAAACTGCTTCATGCAGGAAACTAAGATCTTCACTGTGACTGCTCAAGGTATGAAGCTTGACTTTGCTGTTTTACGTTTTCTGATTTGATTTCAGCAGAATCTCTTGGTAGCACTTGTTATTCCTAACGTGATGTTAGGAACTTTTGCACATTGTTGGTTTTATCTGAAAATGACTAGTCTTGCAAAGTCTAGACAAAGGTAAACAATTGGTGATATTTTTTCAGATGTTTTTAGACCCTGTAGTGATTTGGCACTTGATTTTGTTAATAAAGGGGATATTTACAGGGAGGTATGGTTTTGTAGTAAACTATTCTAGATCTTCTCTTAGCAAACACTAAGTTTTAAAATATTGCTTTTATATGACTATTAGCAAATAGAAGCCTCCGTACTTTCTGTGCATAAAGCCACCTTATTGCTTTACTTCAGGATAAGACGCCAATTTTGTGTTCACTAACTGTAGTTACCGCTATCTATTAAACTGCAGAAAAGTATTCACTATACAACTAGAAAATAGGCTTCCAAAGATAGATACAAGTGTGTTACAGTGTGATTTCATGTATTCCCCAAATCAATGAAGTTATGGAACACTGCCTAGTACTCAAATGCTGATATAAAATGTTTAGGCTATCTTGTCACTTTGAGTGTTGTGTACTTTCAGATAGCATTGACTCATGGTGATCTTTTTCCTTATTTTGCTTTGAACGCAACCAGAGATTCCTAATATGCCAAGAAAAACTTTGTTTTCAGATTCTGTTTTCTGACTTCTGTTGTGTGTTTTCATTTGTTTATTAAGCTACTGCTTTAGGGGATATTAATAATTTGTATTTACTGACCTGCTTGCTTTAACTCCTTCCTCTTGTTGAAGGTCAGGAGATTCAGATGAGAAGGGAAGCTGCTTTCCCTCTCACTTATGCCAGAGGAAGGAATCATTTTATCAATCACTTGATATAGGCTGACCAGATGCGTACAGCTGTTTCAGAAAAGCAGTGTGATTTTTACACCAGAAACTGCAACTGTTGGATTACGTTCGCTCATAATTGTTAACCTGTTGTTGCTGAAAATCTCATTAGCCCAGTTAGTTTAAATCATGTATCGATGCACTTAACTAAAGAGTAACTGAGTAATTAAAAAAAAAAATAATTTTCATTGAATGTAGATAATTTTGCACCAGTGATACGGTTTAACTTTTGCTTTCAGCTCCTAAACTTAGCTGACATCAGGCTCATTTGTTTCTGTTTTGTGTCTTTTGGGATTAAAATTATGAAACGCTGTAGTTGTAGGTTTTGTAGCCTATGTAAAACTGGTAATTTGTGTGTGTAGGTTTGGAGTTTCTCAAATAAGTTACATGCTTTTGACTGCTCAGTTGGCTGCATGCAAATAGCCTGATCCCAAATGAGCCCTGAGCATAAATCTGTTCTTCTAAGTACAACAACTCAGAATTGCTCCTACGTAGTATTTCACAGGGCACAAGACTGTGTAATTACCAGCCAGTTGCAGACAGGAGCCATAACTTACTTCATTAGGTTTGATTTTCTTGTTATTAATTTTTTTCCCAGTCAGCTATGACGTTTCGGGCAACTTGCGGAGTATTTCTTCAAGTATGATGGATGCATTGAATTGTACTTGCCTCTAGACAAAATTCAAGACAGCTGAAGCAGTTTTGCGTCGTGACAGGTTTTGGTTAAAATACTGAATGGAAAAAAAAAAGGGGATGTGGAAGACTTGCTTTTTGCTTCATTAAAAAGTGATTACATACAAGAAATCTTGAAGTGTTCAGTGTTTTGAAAGATTGAGTTGTAGTTTGGTGTGACTTAACAGCAGAAGAGTGGATGTGCTGTCACTTTAATAGACGCTTTGAATAAAAACTTCGTTTAATTTTCAAGTTCAGTGTACGCTGTTTGGTAGTTGCTAAATACTTGGGCTCTCCCGTGTTTCTGCGATCGTGTCAGCCCGACTTGCGGCAGGGCATGGAGGTGTTTATTTTACCCGTCTGTTGAAGTCTGACGGAAGTTAACCACCCAGAGCAAATGTTTTAGGCTTTTTCACGGCCTGACAAACGTGCCGGAGCCCCTCTGAAGCCAGGCCCAGGCTCGGCGAGCGCGGCTGCTGCCAGGCGGGGCGGAGCG